CAGTATTGCCTTTCTCTGAAAATGACGCTCGGTTTCTGCCCCTCAAATTACCAAACTCTTCACCTCAAGGCAGAGGTACCTAGAAATTCAACACCAGCCTCCTCGTAAATGAAGAGTTCCTTTTAACATGAAATATTTCTTTGAAATTTTGGTTTTCTCACAATAAAGACCCAGCAGGTAAGTTACATATTTGGTGGGATATAGGAAAAATAAAAATAAGAAACCGATGCAAAAAATTTTGAAAACGCATTGCTAAGGAAAAGAGAGAAAACGCACAGCCCTGGAAGACAAACTGCAAAAAGCGACAATTTCAACTAACGAAAGCGAAGAAGAAACTGTTCTCTTCATTAGGAAAGAAATCACAAAATTAGATTTTAACAGCATTAATGGTGCACATATCTGAGGAAAAGCTCTTGAATACGAATCAAATGAGAAATCTTCATTCTACTTTTTCAATTTGAGAACTCACATCAATCCAAAAAAGTTATTTGAAAGTTTAAAACGCCAGATGGTAAAGTATTACAGGATAGTAATGACCTGCTTGGCTGCATTGCTAACTTTAATGAGTCCCTCTATTCCCCTGAAACCGCCAATATTGCAAAACAGAATACTCTTTTGAATACGATTGATTGTTTTGTCCCCGACAACTTTTAACTTTCACTTGAGGAACCACTTTCCGCAAACGAATGTAACAAAGCCCTAACCAACATGAAATCAGACAAATCGCATGGCTCTGATGGACTACTAGCAGAATTTTATAATTTCTTTTGAGATAAAATAGGCAAAGCCTTAATAGAAGTACTAAAATTTTCTTTTAAAAGAGGCCTTCTCACTGAATCGATGCGTTTAGCTAAAAATCTCCCTCTTATACAAAAAGGGAGACATTGAACTTCTCAAAAACTGGAGACCGATTTCTCTTCTTAACGATGACGATCAAAGAGTCCTTGCCTGTTAAAAACACCGGATCCCACAAGCAGGTCCCACTGCCATAAAACCTCTAACTGACCTGCTAAGGGACTTTAACCTTAATTATATTTTTCGCTCAATGTAGCCATCTGCCCGCAAGTTTACCTGTACTAATTGAAAAGTTTCATCCAGACTAGATAAATTTTATGTTTCTTCTGAGATTCTAGCTAATCCCTGTGAGATAGCAGTATTTCCCTTTTCTGATCATGATGCCCCATTTCTGTCCTTCCAATTACCAAAAGTGTTACATTGAGGCAGAGGTAGCTGGAAATTCAACACAAGCCTCCTTCAAAATGAAGAATATACATGTAATATGAAGCCTTTTTGGAATTTTGGGTTTCTCGCAAAAAAGACTTTACAGGCAAACTACATATTTGGTGGGATATAGGAAAAAAGAAAATAAGAAACCGATGCAAAAAGTTTTCAAAACGCATAGCTAAGGAAAAGAGAGAAAAACGCACCACTTTAGAAGAAAAGCTGCAACAGGCAACAACTTCTCCTGATCAAAAGGAAAAAAACTGTTCTCCCTGATCAGACAAGAAATTGAAGAACTCGATCTTAAAGGACAAGTATCTTTTCTCTTCATTAACATATAGATCATCATTTAGAAGTAAGTTTTTCCTCGTTTCGAACAAAAAATTATAATCAGGGGGCGCAAGGGGCGCAATTTTGCTTTTTATCACGTGACCCTGATGTACATTGTGATGAGGCGGAATTTTCTTGTCATTGATACAGATTTTATGAAACACGAGGCAACAGGTCCAGACAAACTGATTTCTTTTAGAGGCGTGTTGTAAACATTAATATTGCACTGTATACCAGTAGCAGCAATAACAAATTATCACAATCTGCGGCTCGGTGTCACATGATTCATTGCCCGCCATAATTCGAAAAGGCTTTTCAAGTACAAAAACAAAATCAGAAAGGAAAAATATTTCAACAACACTCTCATACAGCATTTTACTGTGAGTTAAAAGAAAAAAAAAATTTGGCGCCAAAATCGTGTCACTTGTCCTTTAATAATATTAATGGTGCACGTATCAGAGCAAAAGCCCTTGAATACCAATCCAATGAGAAATCTTCACGCTATTTTTTCAGCCTTGAGAATTCCATCAATCTAAAAAAGTCATTCGTAAGTTAAAAACACCACATGGTAGAGTGATACAGGATAGTAGGGACCTGCTTGGCTTCATTGCTAACTCTTATGAGTCCCTCTATTCCCCTGAACCCGTCAATATTGAAAAGCAGAATACTCTTTTGAATACGATCCATGGTTTTGTCCCCGAAAATTTCAAATTGTTACTTGAGGAACCACTTTCCGCAGAAATATGTCACAAACATGAAACCTGCCAGATCGCGCGCCTCTGATGGGCTAGCAACAGAATTTTATAATTTCTTCTAGGATGAAATTGGCAAAGCCTTAGTGGAAGTACTAAACTTTTGTTTAAATAGAAGCCTTCTCACTGAATCTATGAATTTAGCTATAATCTACTAAAATGATTAGACTGCAATTGATACTTCCATCCATTTTAAATAGTGACCAAACCTGCTCTGTACCAGGCAGGACTATATTTGAAAATCTCATGCTAGCAAAAGATTCTATTGATTACTGTCAGGAGAAAAAGCTCCCCCTTGCATTGATTAAGGTACTCTACCACTCAGAGATGTGAACTTTGTTGTTTTGCAAGCTATTGACTCACAAATTTACAAACATATGTAGTTTTGCATTGGGAATTCAAATTTGGTATTGGTTTTTGGGTGTGGCTCATCGTTACCATGGAAACCTACAAACAATAGACATTTTATTCTTTCTGTTAGGCTATGCCTCATTTTGCTCAAGAACTTTTGGTTCACATAAAACTCATATTGACACATTCCTTATTAGCTGGTTAGTGCAACAATGTCATTTTTTTCTGATTTTCTGACATTTAATTGGTTTGAAAGCAACTTAAACTCAGCCGTCTCAAAATTTCATCATGACATTATTCTTATAGACCATGTTTTGAAAGTTCATTTTAAATATACATCAAAACAGACATCTTTATTGCATTATTCAGTTTATAGTGAGCAAATTGATATACAGCTTTACTGTATAGATTAAATTATCATGAAATGAGGCAGTGACCTAGTCGGGCAGTGACGCAGAAAACAGATTGCGACAAAATGACTTTTAAAAAATCTGAATGCAAAAAACAATGCAAAACTAGTGAATGTTGTCAAAAGCTCATTACTACCCATGATTTTTATAATTTTGAGGTATTTTAGTTTGTGTTGAAGCTTCTTGTTGGTTTTACTAAATCAAATAAATATCATTACAGCAGCAAAAAAGAAAATTCAAACATGAACGTTAATGAAAAGTTGCTATAGTTCATTCGAAGTCACCCTCAGCATATGTTTCCCCTTTTTGCTTTTTCTACTGAACTTCTTTGGCAGTACCCTTGTTATTCAGTCTATTTCTTCTTTACTTTGCTATCTCAAAGGAAGATTTTCTTGAAATTTTTAGCCTCTGGACAGATTTTATTGTAAATGCTTTTCTAATGTGTTCTCCAGCTTTAGTACCTAAACATTTGCAAATAACTGTTTTAAATGTTGCTCCCTTTGAAAATTGGCAAGCAGCCATTGAGACAGCTGTTTGCAGGGTATGTCTTCCATCATAAATAGCTTTGGGGCAAATTCTCAACACTGTTGAAGGATTCATTTCTGTCTTGCGTCAAATCACAAGAACATATTTTCAATAAATCCTAATCCGAAAGCTGTTAAAAAATTGGTTCAAGTTTCTTTGCCACATCTGGTGACAATGTATAATGAGCCTTGTGACTACCAGGGCTGTTGCTTTTTGCAAGGTCTCTCTGCCAGAAACTCCAGTAGTAGCACCTGGGGGACAATGTGTATGCTTGGGATTGGCATCTGAAGAGGCTAAATGAAAAAGAATTGCAAAAATTTTCTCAAGAATTTTCTCAAGAGTGGCACATCCACCTCCATTGCATTTGCAGTTCCCTTGTAATTTTTTTTAACAATTTCTTGTTTGCTTTTCTCCCCACTCCTCGGTTTGACCTTCATCTTCTGCAATCTTGTATTTTATGCAAAAATTTGATAAGACCTCAAAATCAATAAGTAGGCCAGTTTCCAAATCTATCACTGCAGTCAGGCCATTATGAGAGGAGTGACCTCTTATCTACCTTGATCCGTCAAATGAAACCCCAATGTCAAAATGTGACTGAAAAGCTGGATCAAAACCAACTTTTGAATAACTAAATAGCAATCAGTATCCCTCTTAGAAGTGTCATTTGCAGCTGATATATCGAGATCAATTCCAAAAATGTTCATCTTCGCTTCGCGATGAGGAAGGCCTAGTCGAAACATCACATTGACTTTGCACGCCTATAACAGTGCTAACGTCTTGTGAAGCTTTATCATGTCCCTTTATAACCGTAGCAACTTTGGTCCGCAAATTTCTAGTTTTTCTTCGACCTAAAGATGGCTTGCGACTTCTAGATTTTACAACTTTTCCAATTTCACTTTGGTGGCTATCAAAACAAAATATGGCGGAACACTCTTGTCAGCTGATCAGTATAGGCAGCCTGACCAATGGGAGAGCTTGTTGTTCAAAGTGAACCAATCAAATCACACCAACGTCAAAATGGCAGACTAAAACAATCCAGATCCAGAACATTTGGCCAATGAAAATCAGTTTAAAACAAAAGAAAAAGCTAAAAACAATCCTAAATTGACAATGATGTCGAACAGAGGAGAAATTAGCTTTTCATCAATATATAGGTTGCCTGAAACCGACGAAGTTGACACGAATGGGACGGACTTTTTTCTTGAGCTTTTATCAAACATTCGCAATAAAAACCAACTGAAAGTCATACTATGACGCACTTTATCCTCTCTAATAATAAAACGGGTAGAAATATAGCAAAAACCTCTCGCACACTGAATGATGAATACCGATCGAACATTTTTGCAATGAAATCTCGATTTGTGAAATTCTCCCAAAAATTGCTTTTTTGGAGTGGTAAAGTACCTTAAAATTGACGAAGAAGAAGCTTTTGACCATGTCAACTGGGAGTTTCTTCTAAAAGTCTTGGAGAGAATGAATTTCGGCCCAAAATTCAAGTGTTTGGTCAACTGGCATTTTACACTACATGTCTTCTATCCTTACGTTCATTTTATCATTTTCACACTTATTAACTACTTCACATTTTAACTTCAAAATAATTGTGAAAATTATCATTATGAAATTAATTATACTAACTTTGTAAATACTTAATTGTAAATATTTGTTTTGTTTCAATTACATGGGTGCTGGCATGCGCCAGGCTCAAACGGAAAAAAAGTGATCAAGAAGGTATTTCTTCCAGGGTTAGGCATTTCCATTGCAATTCAGTTGGGCTGAGCCCTGCGAACAGGAATTTATCAACGCAATTAACAAATTTATTGAAGACTGGGTACAATCACAAGAGTCTTTCCCATCATTAATCGAATGGTGGGAACACAGCAAAAACTATTTCCTTGATATTACCAAAACTTATTCAAGAAACCGTAAAAAACAATTTCTCCGTAGGAAATCCAAACTGCTAAAACAACTCAGGAATGCAAAAAAAAGGCAGAGAGTTAGGGGGACCCCCGCTTCTAAAACTTTATCGTGGCATGAGAAATAGCCATACATCCGTGTATTGACGAACCCCGCTTGTATAAACACCCAATCTTTGCGTATGCTGTAAATATTTAGATTGGTTTATATCTTCATCATATCAAGTAATGTTATGATATGAAGAGCACTTTTTTCACATGTATATATATTACGTTTTGCAACAATAATGTCATTTAGAATTGAATACTTTTTTCACATGTATATATATATTAATTTTGGTAAAAATATTGTCATTTGGAATTGTATCTTGTATCTCATTTAAAATGATAACTCACATTGTACACTACATGTTTTCTATTGTTACGTTCATCTAATCATAATCATACTTATTAACTCTTTCATCTCCTTAACCTCAAAATCATTGTAAAAATTATCATTGTTAAATTGTTTATATCAACTTTCTAAATAAAAAAAGTTGATATTTATTTTGTTTCAATTATATGGCGCTGGCATGTGCCAGGCTCTGTCTGCCTTGACCTGGCTTGTTGTTTGCCTTGGTAATGTTGCCTTAATATAACGATTCCAGACAGGGCAATCATTGTTTCTGAACTGTTTCAGCTTCAGCATACCTATTTTGTAGCATTTGATTAAAAAGGCCAAACTAATACAAATTCAACATAGAAAAAATCTTCCTTCCAAACTGTTGTACGTGCTGCTAATATACATACTTTGCAACTTTCAGAGCAGCATAACGATTAGTGTATTATTGAAAGAAGATTGTTGGGCCTATGGAAATCTGTATGGCTTGCTTATTCACAATCCCAAATCAGATACTTTTCTAAAATCATTCTAACAGCCATTTGTGGGGATAATTGCAAAACAGAGTTTTGTTTTTATTTCCCCTACTACAAGGTGATTTTAACACTTTTGTACTTTATAAATCTTTTCATGGTTTCTTTTAATTGTTGGAGTGGCAAGATGCTCCCTGTTATGACCTGTCGGTACACAACCCACGCCCACTGCCGCAGGTACTCTAACAGGGGAATTACTTTGGCTCTTGGCTTCCGCCACTAACTAAGGCATGGCCGAGAAGCCCAATACATTCACGAGTTAGGATACATTCATGGGTTTAAATACACCACCATTAAAATGACACAGAATGTAGAAAAGTTTGAATCTCCATTTGACTATGTTTGAGGGAGTTTAAGAATAACAGGAATAGGGAAAGGATCATTAAACTTCTCACTTATGTCTAGAGATACTGATCATAACACTAAATGTAGTTAGGTTTGACTCATTATCTAGCTATGTATTAGGATGTTGAAGAAAAATGGAAAAGGGTATGTCAACTTTACACTTCTTGCTGATATCTGTGTATATACAGATAAAAACGTCCATTTCAACAGGACTGGCAAGCATTGCAACTGGATAGCCTGTTAAAAATTATTCACTAGACTATTTCCAATAAGCCGCAACTTATGACTACAGAACGCAATTTTTCTACAAACCAGCATAAGCCTCAAATCTTGAATGGCTAGGGAAGGAATCACCGCCACGGGAATCTTCTTCGAACTGAACCAATAAGGTTGCGAGAAAGTCTTCGAGAAGCACGTTTTTTGGCCTCATGAGAATCTGATCACACATACATTGGGGGAATGGGATAAAACTTGGCTATTTTATTCCAATGACCCCGCAAACATTTCCAGAAAAAGCTAACGGGCGATCTCAAGTTTTGCGAAAGTTATGGAGGGAATTGTCAAATGTTGCGCCATTGGCCTTTTCCGTGTTATCATGGTTGAATTCTGGGATTTGACAGGCGTGTTTTGCTGAGTTTATTCTACAGGGAGCTGTATTTTGACGGGAAAACTATTGCAAAGAGTTTTGAATCCGTGATGGATTGGCAACACGTATTTTCACAGGTACACAAAATGTTGCATGGGGGTTGTAGCTGGATGAAGCAGAATGTTAATACCCACATGTTTTGGTCGAAATTTAAATGGAGTGAAAACAACTAGAGTTTACTGTATCAATAATTTATAGCGTAGTTTAGAGGCCTAGGCCACTTTTCTGTCTTTAGTAAAATTGATTTTCGATTTTTAAATAATTCAAATAGGACCATTTATAAGGCCCCAGCTACAAATTTATTGTTGAATTTGTAGGCATGATTCTCCAGCGTCCAGGTTGTCTTCTTCCACAATTTCATCATCGGTAATGTCATCATCTTTGTGCGCATTCGACATTGGAGTTTCTTTGATGTCTGGATTGAAGATAGATTCCTTTGCTGTTGAGGCTAGGGTCTTCATGGCCTTGAGAATCTCCTCACTGCAAACTGTACATGCCCGTTTCTCTTCATCGGACAAGCATTCAGTGTGGAAGGAGTGCCCACATGTCTGGAACAATATGATGCCAGATCCTGTCTCTTGGTGTGTACAGTCGGCTATGTCGCATTTGCTACAACAAACATTTCGTTTAAGTTCCAGACATTTTATAAAAATTTCGTATAAGTGGGGCATATCATGTTATTGTAATTTTGAAGGCAATTATTATGAGACAATGGGACCTAGCAATAACTTGTGTTCGGTTCAAAACATATTTTACTTTGCATTTAGTTGTTATTCGATAAGTAGCTATAGATTTTTAACTTGACAATACTAGAAAAATTGATTTTGACACCACCTCATTTTAAAAAATCAGTAAAGAGTTTATTTCTAAACCTGAAATTGGCTAGGTAAATAGGACAAGGAATTGAAACAAAGCCAAGGGTATATGATTTTGGATATTGTATACTTGTAAACAGTTGTATACTAAGCAAAGTACTTATATTGTATATATGCACCAAAAACAATTTTTAAAGATTTTTTGCTAAAGTGTTTTTATCTATTTGGCAGTTTGCCCAGCTCTCGGTGCTACAAACCTTAAAGGATTTGGTTCCTTCCCTGCAAACTGAAATCCTACTGGTAGCACTTTCGATGAAACAATGGTTTCTCCATATATATGAGGCAGTTTCCAATATTTCATGCCTTTTTGCCGATTTGCTGGGCGATTGACTTGGGATGCTGCAATTGGCTGTTCCTTTATACTTTTTAAAATGTTGAAAATAAATTTGGATGCCTTGATTTTCAGCTGTTTGAGTTTTGAACTGCTGAAGTTAAATTTGTTTGGCCTCACAAATGCTGATGAAAATTTAGCTGATGTTGTCTTGTTGCTGTCAACTCCTTTGGCCTTTCTTGAGTTCAGCATCATCAGATTGCACTGTTTGTGATCTTAAGAGAGAGTGGAAGTTCTCCACTGGGTATTCATCAAAAGCATTGAGGCTGCTTAAAAGAGCTTGAAAAAGTGGATGATTTTTAGCCTGCCAAAACAGAATATTACTTAGCCAGACCAAAGGAGCTTTGTTATAAGGATGTCTTTTGTAGCAAAAGAACATTAACCAACACCTCAACACTGCATCCAGGTACTCAGAGCTTCTACCAGTTTTAAAGATGACTAAGTAGATAGACAATACAGGTGGAAGGTAATTGTCTAAGATGTTCAAGAGAGTTAGGAACTCTATGCTTTTGCAATCGGAGAAAATGACAATTACTTGTTCTCTGATGAGTGTCCACCCACCATAAAGTATCTCTAACAGCAAAGAAATTCTCCATGGTTTTGGCTTGTTTGCAAGTTGCTTTTTATCCCCAAAGATAAAGGAATAGAAAATTTTAAAGAAGTCAATGTTCAGAAGGCAAAAGCATTCTCTTGCATTCAGCTGAATATGCAGAGGACCAATCATTGGTATAATGTTTTTCAAGGAAGATGGAAAGTTTTCAGGAATGTTATACTGAACCTGTCTCATATAGAATTGAGCAGGCCAGTCCCAAGGCTGGGGGCAAAGAAAGTACTGAAGATATTTTTGAAGACCAACTTTCAAGGCATGAGCAGAAGTTTTGAGAAAGTCGTCAAAACTTCTCAATTTTTGCTCAACCTCATCTACAAGTTTGCAATTTTCCATCTTTCGCAGAGATTTTGTGCTGGTTTGATCCTGTTGGTAATCATGGATTTCTAATCATGGACTTCTTTCAATCTCAGGGTTGAAAAATGATGATTTGACCCAGTATGGCATGATGTTCGTGGAACAAACTGATAAAACGTGTTCGTGGAACAAACTTGATGCCTTGTTGCAAGTTTTGATAAATGCTCTGCGAAGTTGCCTTCTCTCCGATTTCAATTTTTCCAATGGCGTTCTCGGCATGATTATTGCGAAATTGAAAACGAACGAACAGCAATAATCCAATCCTGGTCACGGCTCCAAATGTGAAATACAGAATTAGACAAACATGTTCCAACTATATACAAAACAATCCCAAGATAACGTAATTATGTTGTATGAAATTACTGCTGAGTAAAGAACGAAACGAAAGCGTGAAAGCAATACTTTAGGCCTATTCACAATGTGGGGGGTCACGTGATTAATGTTTCCCTTGCAGCTGCAGCTACAGTCCTGGACATATACGTTGGTCGGTCAGGTGAATATAGGGAAAACCCACCAAATAGACAGCACCGGTCAGTATGCTTCCACACACCAAATGCCCACATTATTCCATCTGCTCTCATCAAAAAGCTTGCTGAAGCCAGAATTAAATCAAGTCACCTCCAAAGGCTATCCACGAAGACCTAGAAGTAACATTTCATACATTGGCGGATAAAGCACGTTTTTTTTATCTCCCCTATGTCCATCTGCCAAGGAGAAATTGGGAGCCAGGCATGGAAAATCCACTACCAATCTGGGATTGTCTTGAAACAGTGGTGAGGAGATTTTAGGGCTTTGAACGGGTCCATTTTGCCAAGGAAAACCTGGATCCTGGTACAGATGTTAAGAATGGCATGATAACCGTGAAGATAGTTCTCACGCAGCCTGTTGCAAGCTTTGTGCACCTAGGCATGTACTGTCTACCGTTGTGTGCCACTATGGCCAGCCGCAAACTTGTTGCAAATGTGACAGTAGGGGCCACATCGCTGCTCAGTGCAATGTCAAGAGGTGTTACAACTGCGGCTTGACAGGACATATTAATGCTGACTGCACTGAAGTCAGTCTAGCCAGGGATGCAGGTCCACCGGACACCACATTGTCCAGTGTGACACCCCCTGGGTTTCTGAAGCAGAAAAGGACCCAGATGAACCCTCATCAGACCTCTCCTCCTCCTCTAATGACGACGAGGACCAAGAGCAGATGCTTGATACTGATGCTGCCTTGGCTCCTGTGGCTATCACCCAGGAATCCAAACTCCCCCACACAGAGGCAGCACCAATGGGTCAAGAGGATGGAGAAACTGTGGTCGCTGAAGGGTCATGCACTTCTGAACTGTCACCAGACTGTTCTGACAAATCCGAACATGTAATCAGTGGAGCGCGTGATGACCCAGCTTGGGAGGACACAGTCGTTGCCCATTTTCTCACATCATCAGATGGTGGCATGGGTACCGAAAATCGCCCAGTCGCTGCTCCCAAGAAGTTGGCAAGCACATAGGACCTATTCTACCAACTTGAAAATGACCTATACCAGTGAAGAACTGGTATGACACACCTTCACCAAATGGTATGTCCCCCTCTTCTACCTTTTCTTCCCCTTTACCTCTCTCTACTCAAGACTTTGTCGCTGCTGTCGCCCCAGCGGCCTTTAAGAGGTCCTTTCAGGATGATAATGTCTCTGACATTTCTGCTGTACAAAGGCCCTCTACCAAAAAGAGGCCAAAACGTTGTTCAGCTCGGCCACCCACCCCTTCTTGATGACCGATTATTTTGCACCTCCCCTTCCCCTGTGAGTGATGGTAGGTATTGATATATTATCAATAAACGTCCATGGACTTAGGTACCCTGTAAAGTACTTCAATGTAGTCGACTGTCTCGAAACTATGAGGGAATCCATTGTTTTTTACAGGAAACTTAGTTCTCTGAGCCTGGTGACACCAACTTCCTCAAATCGATCTGGAAAAGATCTATTTTTAATCTTTTGGAGGAGAGCATAGCGGAAGGGTCACCACCCTAATTAAAGAGTCCTTTTGCGCCAAAGTGCATAGAGTCATTCACCATAACTGTGGCGGATGGGTCAATGTTATTTTAGACACCAACGACTCAAATCTTCAGCTTTAAAATTGTATCCCAAATCTATTTCTTGACAAACTAGGTGGTGACAGCCAAGCAGGTGCCACTGCCCTAGATGCCTTGACCGGTTTTTTAAAAGCTTTTAGCCTTAGTGATGTTTTTCGTTCAATACATCCATTCACACGCGAGTTTACGTGGACCAATTCAAAAGTTTCATTTTGGCTAGATAAGCTAAATGTTTCCCCTGACATTTAACCAAACATTTTGAGATAACAGTGTTTCCCTTTTCTGATCATGATGCCCCCCTTTTGTCCTTAAAATTGCCAAACTCGCCACCTTGTGGCAAAGTTGAAGAATTAGATCTTAACAACATCGATGGTGCACTTATCAAAGCAAAGGCACTTGTACAGCAATCACATGAGAAATCTTCGCGCTATTTTTTCAGTCTTGAGAACTCACAGCAATCCAAAAAAGTTATTCGAAAATTTAAAACCCCAGATGGTAGAGTATTACAGGAAAGAAGGGACCTGCTTGGCTTCATTGTTAACTTCTATGAATCTCTCAATTTCCCTGAACCTGTTGATATTGAAAAACAAAATTTCAAATTGTTACTTGAGGAACCACTTTCCACCGACGAATGTCACAAAGCCCTTACCAACACGAAATCAGACAAATCACCTGGCTCTGATGGGCTACCAGCAGAATTTATAACTTTTTCTGGAATGATTTCGGCAAAACCTTTGTAGAAGTACTAAACTTTTGTTTCAATAGACGCCTTCTCACTGAATCTATGCGTTTAGCTATAATCCCCCTCTTGTACAAAAAGGGAGATATCAAACTCCTTGCAGACCAGTTTCCTTGCTTAACGTAGAGTAAAAATTGGCTCAAAAGCCGTTCCAAATAGATTGCAATTGATACTTCCATCCATTTTAAATAGTGACCAGACTTGCTCTGTGCCAGGCAGGTCTATGTTTGTAAATCTCATGCTAGCAAAAGATTCTATTGATTACAGCCAGGAGAAGAAACTCCTCCTTGCATTGATTAAGATTGACCAAGAAAAAGCCATTGACCGTGTAAACTGGGACTTTCTTCTAAAAGTCTTGGAGAGAATGAATTTCGGCCCAAAATTAATGTGTTTTTTAAAAACCAAGTTTACAGATGTTTCTTGCCAAATTAGCGACAACCTTTCTAGGAAAGTAACCCTTAAACGTTGGGTAAGACAAGGCTGCCCATTGTCCACGCTATTATATTGCATAGTAGCGGAGACCCTGGGCAACCTCATTCGTGAAAACCTCAAAATTCATGGCCTCCGCCCTCCAGGTTCACGAAAGGAAGTTAAAATTTGCCAGTATGGTGGTGATACCACCTTATTTCAAAAAAATAATTTTCTGTTGAAGAAGCCACAGCAACTATATAATTGTAAAAATTAGGTTCCGGATCAAAGGTGGATTATGATATTAGCAAATCCTGCAGAAAGTGGTTCAACAAGCCCCCATATATTTCCACCTCTCTGTCTTCTCCTCTAAACTGGACAGACAGTGCCTTCGAAGTACTAGGTCTTGAAATTTGGCACTCAAATAGCCCTTGAAAGCTGTTGAATAAAACGTGTGGAATAATTGACTAACAGGCTTGATTGCTAGAAACACCAAACCCTTTTGTTAAAAGGAAAAACCCTTATTGTCAATACAATTGCTCTTTCTGGCCTGGTCTTTGTAGGAACAATCTACCAACTACCTCCCGCAAGAGAAAAACAAGTTAATCAAGCTATTTTTCAATTTATCTGAGCTGGCAAAAATGAGCTACTCAGCAGAAAGACAATGTTTCAACCGGCAGATGAAGGTTGTCAAGTTTTAGTTGACATACCACTGAAGTTCCTTAAGTCAATTATTGATACCAATTATGACTCCCCCTGGGTATTTTTTGCCTGCTACAATATCGGTTTCCAACTTTTCAAGTACTTTCCAAATGCAAAACTTCTACGTTCCAATTTTCTTCTTCATGCCTCAACCCCATCTACGCATTACATTTGTCTTCTCTCGTTGAGTGATTTGTATGAAGTCCTTGTTGTTTTGTTAGGTGCTGCGGGCACATCTGTAAGTAGTATTTACGGCAGCATTCTCACCTCGGTCTACTCCGGCATATTGCCCACCCTGGCATGGAATGCTATACTCACAGAGCCACAATAGTGCCAAATCCCATGGGAGCACATTTGCTCCCACCTCTGAAGATGATATCCTGAAGGTGATGTCTTATGGAAAATTTATCATAGGGTCCTGAAAACAGGAAGTTACTCAAAAAGTTGGGGTCTAAATATCCCTGAAAATTGCGACCAATGTCACCAAATTGCAGACATTAATCATGTTTTCATACACTGCTCAATTGCAGTTGCAGTTATCGCGTCTCTGCAGCCGATTTTCAAACAGCTGCTCGTCACACTTTTTGTGCTCCCCTTCCTCATCATTTTGTGAGTTTCCGATGCAATTGATCTTGGGACGAAGACGGTAAGGGGTCTTGAACTAGCACAGTCTCACCGTCTGTGCTGATGGGCAGAAATTTAATCTCTGAAACCACGATGGGGATGTGAGATTTGGTGCGAGAATAAGAAATTGTACTGTACGTGATGGCAGAAATGAATGCAGATGATATTTTGCTGGATATGCATGATGATGGTGAGCTAGATGACAAAGTAGTCCTACTTCTCATGCATTTAAATCAGTATAGGAATCTCCATGCAAACTTACCATACGAGAAGTACGATAGATTCGATGTTGAATTTTACACGGAGGAGGAGTTTGAAGTCGAATTCAGATTTCACAAACGAGGCATCAACAGACTTGCTGTCGCTTTCCAGTTGCCTGAGTCATTCAAGTGCGCAAACAGAGTTATCGTAGATGGTGTGGGAGGTCTTTGCATGACTCTGAAACGTGTTGCATATCTATGCAGAGTTGCTGATATTGTTCCTCGTTTTGGTAGGCACGTTTCACAAATCTGCATGGTGACCAATTTGATGATCGCCTTTCTCATCATATGTACTTTGTTGGTCGATGACAAATGGACATGGTACTTGATCCATATTGTACCTTCTTGTGGGAACCCAACGGCCCCATTTGTCATCAAGCTGAATTGAATAATTATGTTGCTTCTTGATTGGACATCTTTTCTTAGCTGACGATGGAAGGATTGAATAATAGGAAGCTTTTCAGTGTTACCAATCTTCTTCTTATTTGTTCTGCGATGAAAAGTAATGAAATTCCTCTAAGAAAATCTGAGCAACCAACTTTTGGAGCTTTTGAAGTTGTCAGCCACTTCGTCACCATAAAATAATCGCAATGATTGTCTCATTTTTATCTTCAACCATCTTCCTCCTACTTTATATCCTCTAGATCTGTGTTTTCTGAAGTCAGATAAAAGTTTCTGCTCTGCAAGTGGGTACTTCTTCAAGTAATAATTCCTCAAACGCCGTCTTGTCCGCCCAGTCCCACTATTGTCTGCTCCAATTCTCTTTCTCTTAGCTCTTATTTTATCAGCCTCTTGTTTCAGATCTTGCTCCTGCTTACTCCATTTCCAGACCATGGACTTAGAAATTTGATATTTTTCAGCAACTTCTTTGTACTTATCCTTGATAGATCGTATTGTGGCTGTGCATGAAATTCGAACTTATAATAAAAGGGTTGTAAATGAACGATCTCACCAATCTTTGTTTACCGTGCCTTAGGCCATCAACTCAAAGAAAACAAATCAGCTTGGTTTTTCTGTTACGTCTTTTCTTCAGCAAGATGAAAACTAAACTAACTACAATACACACATAAAACGAGTGGACGCTACAAAGGTGTTGTTGATTACGTTACTGTGGTTACGAAGACAATGGAAAGTGTTAATGATATGATTACAATGGGAAACATGAATACGTTTAACAATCGTCGCTACATAGCTCCCCCCTCTAGAATGCAAGCGAGGAGAAGCATTCAATAAAAAAATAAATTAATATAAAAATTGCGAAAATGTTCAAATTTTCGACTTGTATAGTTCGAATTATAACCATTAGCGAGTCAATACTAAAGTCTGTCCAGAAAATGGACTCTTCTACCGGAGCGAGTTGTTCGGCCTGGAGTGGTAGCTGGAGCAGGTAGAACAGAGGATGGTATTGGTGCTGTTGGAACTGCAGGTGAGGGAAGTAGGTCGGTGTCGAGGTATGCTGGTTTGAGACGATCGATGCTGACAGTTTGTTCTTTTCCATGCATGTGAATTGTGAAATGTTTTGTATGGCGACACAGGATTTTGAATGGTCCGGTGTATTTTTGGGAAACATGAATACATTTAACAATGGTCACTACACACTAGTGATGACTGCGGCAGGTCCGACCGTACAAAACTCTCTTTTACATTCGCAATAGCTTCTTTATCAGGATGTTTGTACTTAATGTGATTGTTCAAATATTGATTGCTGGTAAAAAAAATTGCTTTCTCCACAAAAGGGGCATGTAATGCCATCAGTTTTCTTCTCACATTCAGGCACAAAGTCTTCCAGTTGAACTTTAAAACAGTTGCCTCGTGCTGTCTCAATCTTTTTCGTGAAACCGAATTTACCAAGAGTTGCTTGTTTGCTGGTGGAAGCAGGCTTCATCACTCATGGATCAACGGATTGAATCAGTGGATTCATAACTTACGACCATTTGACAGATGAACCGGTGAAACTTTAGACCCTTCTTGACAGCCCAGTGTTTAAAAAATGCAGTGCATGCTAGTTAGTTTCAGAGTGAGGTCAAGTCAAAATGGTTTCACAAACAACATCAGCAACACTGTCTCTGGACAGTAAGACTTGTGAAAATGGCGGATAATTTTGTGTTTTTCTTGGAAACTGTGGTTAGAGGCTATCATGCTTATTTGTCAACATATAAACTGACACTAGGCGAGATTTTGGTAATCATGCCGGATCCGGATGCAGTAATGCATGATAAATATGTGATGAAGTATACAACAAAGGAAGAAGAGCACATTGTTGGTCATATTCCCATACATTTCTCTCGACTTTGCTTCAAATTCACAGAAGATGGTGGGGAGCTAGATGCAGAAGTGATTGGTAAAAGGTTTAATGCTGGGAATGGCATGGGAGTTGAAGTGCCAGTCGAATTAAGTTTTGTTGGAAACAAACAATACTTGGAGAGATTCAGGTCAAAATGATCTCGGCCATTGGGGCAGAGGAAAAACTGAATTGAAGCACAAGCAATAAAGTTGTGGAAATTAAGTCAAATACGTTGATACGAATGAACTCAAAACAGTTCCCGATCTACCCAAGACAGCAGAGACTTGTCGGTGCCTTTGAAAAATTGCATAACAGGCAATTAAAAAGGATTAAATCTTGCTGCTTCGTACAACTTCAATCAACTTGTAAGGTTGTTTACACGATCACATTCTGTAATCACATAAAATATGTGATGCAAATGTGACCTGAATATGATCATGTAAATAGGCCTTAAGCAACATCATAACATCATTGGCCCTCTTGCCATTTTCTATCAATTCTTTCTCTCTGAGTTCCAGTTATTTTCGCTTAAAAGCCACTGCTTCTTTTTGCCCTTTTTCTTGTAACTCAAGTTTCCTCTTCTTCAATTCCAGTTTCTCCATTTTTATCTCCTTCTGTGCTACTGATTTTTCTTCTAAATAATCCACTGTTCCATTATTAGTTCTTTTTCTCTTCATGCTGCCTTCCAACTCCTCCCTGTCTCTTGTCTCTGAAAGGTTTTCCATTGCTCTTCTTCTAACGTTTCCCGCAGTGACCTTTTCTTTTTCCACCCCCTGCAAAATCCTTTCATCAGCTACAGGTGACTGTTCAACTATCTCATCCAAAGCTCGATCTAGCTCTGAAGGCTCGTCTGGAGGTATCCCATTTGATCTCGCTTCCATTGCTATTTTCCTTTTAAAATCTCTCTCCAATTTAGTAAATTGATCTCTCACAGACCTCTGGTCTACCAAAAACTTTGGCCTTTCAACTAAATTCAAAGCATTGGCTATTTTTCCCCAACACTGCCCCCTTTTCCTTGATCCATGTTTAAATTGGTATGGATGTGTTACAAGTATCTCCCGACACAACAAAATATCATGTTCTTTGTTCCAAACCATTTTATGCCTATTGGAAGAGGATAAAAACTGGCCATCAGAGATAAAAGACATTGAAAACATGTTTCATTCGACATTATTAATTTTTCTGATCAAGGTGCACTTTGTTAGTACTCTAAACTTTGCACAAATTTCAATTTCGAAAATTACTAAAAATGAATGTTATGAAATTCTAGAACAACAGCAGACAAACATAAATCAAAGTAGATTAAAACAAAAAGCTGTACAAAAAACTGACAAGTTTTCAATAACAGTACATATATACAAGCGTACATAGATAAGGTTATTCTAAATATTGATATAAGGAAATTATTTTACAGACAATCCAGCTATTATTACAGAGGAAAGAAAAATGTTTAAATCTCCATTGGGTTGATGACATGCCAATTTGACAGGAGAGTTCATTTTAAAATACTGCTAATTTAAGTATGGGTCATCTAGTTTTGGCAAAAATATCCAATTAATCAAATATAACACAGAATAAAATATGGCTTTGAAAAAAAGCAAAAATTTAGTAAACTAAAGTAAAACATTTAGTAACATTTAGCAAACATTCCGTCTAATATTAGAAACAAAACCCATCCCCAAAGAGAACAGCCACCTCGGTCTTGCAAATCTAGAATTACAACTGAAACCCGCGATTCTGCTATCAGGCAGCATCAACTAGAAAACCCAGATTGCGCAAAAAACTATTAATGGCGAGATGTTTCAAATCATTGGTAAAGCCCGATCGTCATTCCACCTAGCAGTTTTGGAATCTATCTACATCAGCACGAAAAAACCACTACTATGGCTTTTTGGGATTGGCTTTTTGCATCACTGGCTGCAATTTTTGAGTAGGCCATCTTTAATAGACTACGAGGTAATAGCTAAAACTGAGAAATCAAAAGAAAACGGTTATAATACATCATCAACTGGTTATAAGGATAAGAAACGAGGTAAAACATTACTATATGTGAAAGTTTTAAAGTTGAAAGGTTCATAAATACCTTGAAATAATGGACAGTAAATACCTTGAAATAAAAACCTAATAAGGACGGTAAATATTCGAAGTTCCGTTTCATAACACCGTCGGAATTAAGTTTTAGTAATTAAGAATTAAGTTTAGTAACATCGCTGCAACAAAAATTCAAAATATTGATTTTCCTGACAGAAGCTCCAAGAATCTGCGCTTTCAGGGATTGATCGATACCCAATATTTACATCACAGGCCAGTCGTGATGTGAATGCCTTCAATGGAGAGCAAAGTGATTTGTTGGAATGAACAAACATAAAAGCATTCAATTCAAGTAATTGAAAAACCATCATTCATCTCTTTTCATTGGACCAATTATGATGAAGCTTCCCTTCAATTATAAACTCTTAGAGTTTGCCACTCAAGTGATGAACAAGTGTCTATATGCAACGTTTCGGCTTTCTAAGAATCATATCATCAGTCAGTGACAGAATGCAGTCATAGAACATCTTCCATCCTCTCATCTTCTCAGTTTATCCCGTTCTCCAATCCGACCGCCCCAAGGGAAACTGAAAGTTAAGTTTAATTTTTTTCAATGATAGTCAAGTAGCTTTTTGCCTCTTGGATCATGGGAAGGCTCGCTCACAAATGATAGAAAGAGTAAGCACAAAAACAGGAAGCAACGGTGCGCGGTAGAACTTTAGCCATACAGCTCGCAACTGGTGCTGCATGCTGCATAGATGCTGCTGAGTGGCCATGTAAAGCCATGTAAAGCCATTCAGCAGCATGGCCACTCAGCAGCATCTATGCAGCATGCAGCACGATGTTCTACTTTCCTGGCAGTTACGATGCTCTCCGGACGTCTGCAATCCACAAATTTTGTATGGAAACACTAATCTGTGATGTGTCAGCGATGTCCTTTTATATTTTATTGCACGTGTTACCATTTGTCCAATCAAAGCTCTTTTCAACAGCCATCATTTGTCATTGCAAAAGCGCACGCCATTTTCTTGCTACAGGACACTGCAAGTTTGTTTTTATTATATGGCAAACAGTTACTCTACCCACATGAAAATTGAAGGACTGTTACTGTTGTGAGTCACCTGTAGCAAGATACCTCAATGTGATGATTAGACGCTCCACTGGGGATAATGGCATGCCGCTTCTGCATTTATTTTTTGCCAAGTGGGGTCCAACCAATGTCAGGAGGTGCTCTAGTCTTTCTGGTGACATTCGCAAATATCTGCCGATTCAATGAAATAATATTACATTTAAATATCCCCAGTAGATAATTTTTAAAAATATTTATAACTATAATTATTGATTTTAAATTTAAAAAGGAAATATATTAATAATTTATAATAATCAATTACACTATTTTTCTTTTATAAGAACATGGTTATTAGAACACAAGCCTGGGTTTCAAACTAGAAAATAATAGAGAGAAAATGGCTCTATTGTTTAGAACAATAGAAAAATGAGAACAATCTGAGCATCTGCAAAAAATTTGATGGTTCTTATTATAAAAAAGGGTGTAATCTGGGGCGTTTTTGCTGTGGGGCCAGAGGGATATCGTTTTGTTTCTCAAACGTCTGAGCCTCATGTAACCAAGAAGCATGCACCTTTAGAATCAATCTCCGATTTAATGCCACCATTTTCCAATGTTGCCAGCAGTTCAAAAAAGTCCGTGAAATTCCGTTCCATGCCAAATAGTTGCGCCTAGTTACCAATTGCCTTTGCAAATGGAAACACTCGCCGATGCATCGCAGGTATCAGAACAAAACCATCGCAGATGCATCGGCAGTTACAATTATATGGAAACCAGGCTTCAGGCCAATTATTTTTACAGGAGTTAGTATGAGAATTTTTTGGGGGTTTGTACAACGTATGGACTGACTTCCACTGACTTCCCAATCATTTGCAGCCAAGCCAAGACGATACCTTCCTGCCCAGCATTTCTGTATCTCAGTACAGCAAATGCTTGGCAGAGGATATCGTATTTGTGTCTGAGGAATTAGCTACGATTCGGATACAACATGGATATTTTAAAGCTAGTTGAGTCACTAATTGTCTCCAATGATACAGAGAGCCTTCAGAATATCAGGGCATTGGGGAAGCAAGCACCTATCTCTGTATCTACGGCTCTTGGCCTTCCGAGGGACTTTGCAGCACAACATTTTATCCCTTGGAACAGACTGGATATAGCAAGAAAAAGAACTGCTTTCGCAGGAAGGTATGGTTTTAATATTGAAAGTGTTATAAAATCTTGACAATTTAGCAACCTTGGGAAGTAGGTAATGCTGGTAGTGGTAGATCTTAGCTAGATAACATTCTTGGCCTGGTGAAAAATCTTGCAGGATCCTACAGGATCCTAGCTTTTTAGGATTCTGGACAAGATCCTACCAAAAATCCTGCAAGATCCTGTGTGCATAGGATCTGATGCAAGATCCTACATAAGGATCCTGTAAGACAAACACAACTTAAGATCTTACACAGGATCCTGCCAAACATCTTACAAGATTTTAAAATAGGATCTTGAATGGGATCTTGCTAGGATCCAGAATGAAATTGTAGGATCTTACAAGAACTAGATTAGGATCTTACACATAACAATTCCAAGATCCTATTGGATTGTGACATGGATCCTGTCAGGATCTTGAATATAAAGATAGGATCCTGTACAAAGTCAAACAGGATCCTGTTACATTCTGACCAGGATCCTTCCAGCTTCTTGAATCCTAAATATATAGGATCCTATACAAGATCTTACATAAGGATCCTGTAGGAGATAAACAACTGAAGATCTTACACAGGATCCTACCAAAAATCTTACAGAATTATAAAACAGGATCTTGAATAGGATCTTGCTAGGATCCATAGTGACATTGCAGGATCTTACAAGAACTAGATTAGGATCTTACACATAACGATTCCAAGATCCTATTTGATTGTGACATGGATCCTGCCAGGATCTTGAATATAACGATAGGATCCTGTAGAATCTTAAAGAGGATCCTGTTACATTCTGACCAGGGTCCTACCAACATCTTGAATCCTAAGCGGCGGTGTAGTGCTATCAAAATAACAAGGGGGGCTCTTGCACAAAAAGTTGCAAAAAAACAATAGAAAAATATAAATTTGCCAAGCTTTTGGCATTAACAAGGGGGGCTCAGCCCCTAGCACTACACCCCTGATCCTAAGTGTATATCAATCGATTTCCTGGACTTTTGATGCAGCAAAGCGCAAGAAAAACAAAACATATGATCATATCAATCTCTGATTTATATAAATACCACACCCTTTAGTTTAGCTTTTTCAAATACATTTCAGAATTATTTCTTCATGTCACTTTCATGTATTGGCTTAAATCGATTTACTATTTTAAGCCATACTCTTTTTAAGTTGAATTAATTCCATTTTTAAAGTGGAACTCATTACTTTAAGTGGCCCCTTAGATGCTAGATGTTGATTCTCTGTAGCAGTTTGCCCCCTCTTCCCAGAGGCGTCGGCATAGGGGGGTACGGTGGGGGTGTGGTATCCCAACAATTTGTTGGTCGGCACAGTACGGATTTTTGCTGGGCACTCGCTCTGCAACCTTTTTCCAACATTTCTGTGTAGTTGAACTATCAAAGTATGGCACTAGAGTCAGAGGCGGCGGACAGTGCTATTTATGCTATTTCATTAATAGCAATTTTTTTTCCAAAGAAATGTTCTGCTTTTGTATTAGACAAATTAATGTAACATAAATTATACGAGTAAAATCTTTTCTGGATCTTGATTTCCTTATCCAGTTCCTTCATTCCATGATTTATTTGACCCCTCTGTGCTTTTTGATATTGCGATTGCCCGACTTAATCTATTCAAAGAATGCCGCGTGTATACCTTTCTGATCCACGCTGTGGCCGTCGATGGCCATGCTATTACTTGGCCCTTCTGAATAGCAAACGGAGGAAACTAATAGGAGTTGCGCCATAGTGTGGCTATGGTGTGACGCAACGGGCTATTGTGAAATACGCATATCTGACAGCCTTGCTATTAAATTCTTGGAATGAATAGCAAGAGCTCACACGCGATCACGCATACAAATCGTCAGTTCGATAAACGTTGGGAAGAGAGTAGAGACCTTTTCAGATACAAAATGAATCAAGTAGCGTCAGGTGGTGTACGATGGGGTGTTTCAACTGTCTTTTCCCTCATATCTATGCAAGGAGGTAAATTAACTCATGAACAGCGCCTTCGTCTTAAAAAAGACGGACGCCCATGCCCCGATGTTAAAGTTAAAAGTCGTTCGTGTGAAGCTGTGTATAGAGGTTTTTCTTGGATATGTGGTGATTCAGAGAAGAATACATATTTCTGCTGGCCATGTTTAGTCATGGGAGATCATTTGAAGGTAAGAAGATTACTATTTTCTATTTACTATTTTCTCTCGTCGGAAAGTCTCGTTTATAGCGGCTTTGCTATTACAAATTGAAGATGAATAGCAGGGCTTTTAACGAGCGGCGGAGAGCCGCGGTAGTCTAAACAGCCCTGCATATGTAGCCACCTTTTACAAACGCAAGGAATTGTGGCATTTTCATGAACACACTTATTCACAAGACACCGATTGATCAGATGTCCCTGTCATAGTCCCTACAAGAAGCCATTTTAGTATTACTTATGCTCAAGTTTACGAAACTGACCATCTATAACTTAATGTTTAGGTTTAGGCATAGTTAACTATCGTTTAGGCGTTTAGGTAAAGACTACATTTGCTGTAATTGTTTCCATTACTACCAAGATACCAAGGGGTGTATCACTCTTCCCAAAAGGCGTCCGAGATTTTTTAAAACATTAGTATTTTTGCCAAAGGTGTACGAAGGTGATACGCTCCTCGATTTCTACAAACAACTATTTGAAATTAAGAGCAGTTTGATGCTAAAATCGAGCTAAATATAAAAAACAAGGTTGCAACTCCACTGTAACTTTTATAAAAATGTGGGTGATAATAGAAGAATTTTTATCAATTTATTCACATAATTTATTTCAGATGAAGGCTTGCTTCGTGCAACCAACTGGATTTGCATCTGATGGCAGGAATTTGTCGAATGTTGCTAACAGGCACCAAGAATCAAAAAGTCACATGACATGTCACGCTTCGTACAAGCTTTTAGGGAATGTGGATGTGGCCAGTGCACTTGATGAAGCAAGACAGAGAGAAATTCTGAGACATAATGAAAATGCATCAAGATATTCAAAGATGATGAAGCACCATATTGATGTTGCAGTCTACTTGTCTGCCCAAGGACTCGCTTTCCGGGGGCATTCTGAAGACAAATTCTCTCCAAACAGGGGAAATTTCATTGAATTGATGGACTTGTTAGGGAACTACAGTCAAGAGTTGCGAGTTTTCCTAGACAAGGAACGGATAAGTTACACCTCCCACGACCCACAAAACGAATTGATCAAATGCATTTTCCAAGAAGTCCAGAATGAAATTCGAAATCGAGTAAGTGCTTCCAGATGTTTATCCGTAATGATGGATGACACCAGTGACTTGAGCAACACGGAGCAGTCGGCTGTTTCAGTGAGACTTATTCATGATGGGAATGTCGAAGAACATTTGCTTGGCCTCACAGATGCATCTGACGATCAATCTGCTGATGGGCTTACAAAGATCATGATAAAAATATTAGGGAGCTACAATGTTACTCCTGAGACAGGAAAGAGAAAGCTGATTGGACAATCATATGATGGTGCGGCGACAATGAGTGGCGAGCTCAATGGTGTGCAAAAGAGAATGCGAGATTACTTTCCACTTGCCTACTACAACCATTGCGTTGCACACAGGATGTCACTTTGTGCGTCGCAGTCATCGATGAAAATCCCAGAAGTGGCTAAATTCTTTGGAATATTAGACAAGCTGATAACGTTTTTCCGAAGCAGTCCCAAGCGAACGCGATACCTTGGATATAATCTTCCAAAGCCTGGTGATACAAGGTGGCTTTCTCGAGACACGGCCATTACTGCAATCGATTCGTGCTACGAGACAATCGGCACAGTCTTATACCAGATGTCTTCGAATGGGAGAGAGAAAGTCGACACCCAAACGACAGCCAGAGGTCTTCTTGCCAACATCCAAAATGTTGACTTTCTATGTTTACTGAAGTTGTACAGGAAGATCTTTGAGCATTGCACGCCAATTATCACCGTTATGCAGAAGCCAACATTGGATGCTGTTCAGCTGAGATCTATGCTCGACGACTTCCAACGTTTTCTTGCTGCACTAAGCTTTGAAGACATTTGGCAAATTACACTCGATGCGGACCCAAGTTCCCCGTAGAACGAGCCAGAGCAGGATGGAGAGGAAGGGAAACGCACAATAATGGATCCGAAGATGCTTGGAAAGAGAAGCTGTCGATTGTGGCATCAAAAGTATGCATCGAGTTTTCAGGGCAGATTTCATGGAGATTCGAGAACCTCAAAAAATTCAAGTGGATGGATCTGATTCACCCCGCCAAGTTTGCAGAGAATGTCAAAAGGCCTCCTAATGAGATAAAAGAGCTCATCAGAGAATTCGGAGATTTGTACCCATTTGCCGTTCATGACATAAATTCAGTGGAACACAATTTGGAAGTTTTATACAATAACCATGAGATCTCGCTGCTTCTTCGTAAATGTGCGAACGAAAGGAACAGAGCCATGAAGCAAAGGAGAGCAAGGCACAGAAGTAATAAAGCAAGCCATCGCGAGGAAAGTAGCTCTGGTGACCAGGTGATGGAAGAGGTGATAGACGTGGAAGAAATTGACGAATTCGAAATTAGAGAAAGTACGGGTCTTGAGGGAGACATTGCACACGGAGAAACATTGAGTATGCAAGACCTGCTCACTGTAATACATAGCACGGACCTTGCAGATGCTCTTCCGCAGGCAATGGTTCTCCTGGAAGTTGCAGCAGTGACCCCACTCACAAGCGTACACTGCGAAAGAGTGTTCAGCCGTATGAAAAGAGTGATTTCAGAATCGAGATCAAGAATGCTGCAAGAAAGAAAGGAACACCTTGTTTTCTTACAAGTTGAGCATGGTACATTGCGATCATTGGCAAAACAACCAACATTTTATCAGAATGTTGTTAGCAGGTTCAGAGAGAGCAATCAGCGACGGCTCGAACGATTTTCAAGAAAATAACTGCAATTTTTTTCATAGATGTGCTTGAAAAAATGATCAATTTGCGATACACGTTTGTTGTAAAAATAAAATAAAAACAACAATAATGTTTGAGCTTAGACGAAATGTTTTCTTTTTTTCAAAATATTTCGTATCTTAATAGAAATTTTTGTGGATTTTTCAGAAACGAGCGTAGTTTTGGAAAATAGACCATCATTTAGGAGCAGTGATAACTTTATATCTGTATCCCTCTTGTAAAGGATGGGCGTTTCCGCCCTTTTAAAGGGCGTGGCCCCCGGACCCACGTTGTTCACTCGCTTCGCTCGCGATTAATAGCAATTTATTATTGCTCCCCGCCGCCCCTGACTAGAGTATAAACTTTGAAACAGAAAGGAATAAAAGCAGCATGCAAGAGTATTTATCTTTTGACCACACCCTTAAAGAATGAAACACGCCCTTTTTTGTCGGCAAAAATCGCCTCTTCATCCCTCTAAACAATTTTCTTGGCTACACTCCTGCCTCTTCGCCAACTCTTGGGGCCCTGGGCATGTTCAGGCTATCAATTTTCTTTTTAAGGTTCAAAAAGTTTATCTAAAAGGCATAAAATTTGTCCACCATAATTAAAGCACCAGTTTTATAACGGAGCAGCTGCACCATTTTAGCACTGCACAAAACCGTTTTGTCATTGCACAAATTGGTTATCATTGCACCCCAAATTAGATATGCTGTCGGGTAAATATGGTTATAGAAAACGATGTTGAACTGGAAAGAATATTTTTCAAATAACTTGTTTTCGACTTATTCAAAATCAGGGACTTTCAAGGGGTGATCGTGCTGTAACCGGTGTTTTGGTAGGTACGGGGATTCATAAACTGCGATAACCATCGTAAATGAAGTGAATTGTCGCATGCCTTTTTTACCAACCAATCAGAGGACACTTAGCAGTCCAGCGGGTCACATTTTGAACAAGACAATCTGTTGGTGGAGAACAGAAGAAAGACTTTTTGAGATGCAAAATGCTGAACATCTGTCAGGTGCTTTTTCCAAAAAGTCAAGATTGCAAGCAAAAGAATCGAGAAGAATGGATCCAGCCCAGCAGGTAAATTAATATTCTTCTTTGGTACTGTGCTAGACCAGAGATTATTTTTAAAAATTAGAGTCTGACCTAAAACTGCTGCTAAAACATGTAAAGGCCAAGAAGGCTAATTTCAGGAAACACTTTAAATGAGTAGATTTTGTGTGAACTTTGAAAATTGCACTTTAAATTTCAAATTGCTCAAAAACTGTTTCAAACCGCCAATAGCCAATTTGCTACCAAGTTTAGAAATCTTTGTATCGTTTTAAATGTTCCTAGTGGGCCAAGTTTTTACATCACAAAAGCTAACATGCGCATTTTTCATAAGAAACTAAGCAAACTACAAGTTAAAATTTTCTTAACCTTATTAATGAATTTATTATTGAAAGTTTGCTTTAATACCAAGAACTAAAAAGCTACTTTATGGGAAAAAACACAAACAAACGCAACAGAATATCAAACGTAACAAACACCTAATCAGTTGTAAGGAGGTATATTCTTTCTATTATCTATGAAAGTTTAACCACAAATAGGTTTCTTATCGACTAAAAGAACTAAATTTCGAGTAGCTTCTTAAAGTTGGGGGTGATCAGTACTATTTTTTAATTTTTTGGTCATCTTTGGGCTCGTTCTTATGGGAAATCTGTAAAAGAAATGTGACTTTCTTGCAAAAATCGTAAAATCTTTTAGCCAAACGAAATAGTAGATTGAAGACAAATCATGCCATAACCGAAAATATTTTAAAATCGCTATAATTGTATATCTTGCCAGGACCAGGTACAGCCGTACATTATTATATTCAAAATATATAGGATTATAGTAGGGATAATACTGTAATGAAGTTCATAAATGCAAATAAAAGTTTGTCTGCCATGTAAACATGCAAAAACAAGAGTTCAGTGGCCCCATTTGGTCCGTTGCACCATCCTTTCTTGTACTTGATGGAAAGAGGGCATGGCCATGCAAAACAGTCACCCTTCTGCAAGATTTTTATCTTAAGACATTTCAAGACTTAATTTTACAATGTAAGATTAAAACCAATTTCAAATCCTTATGATTCATCTGGAACCTTCTATTTTTTGAAATTCTAAATCTTTTCTCATTCTAGGTGCTTTCAATGCAGTTTAAAGAGAGTAAAATACAGCAAAGCAGATTGAGGTTATAAAAAGAACAATTAAACAGAAATGTCTTGACAAACTTGTAAATTAAGCATAGTTGATGAAGATGTAGTATACAAAGATTGTGACTTTATTAAATGTGAATCACATGAAATTTGATTTGCTCTCTACAGATCTACTTCTTGAACTCTTATTTGGTAAAAGGTCCTACAATATCCTTTATTAGGATCCTGAACAAATCATATACAGGATCCTGATTAGATAATATACAGAATCCTGATTAGATCATATACAGGATCCTGATAAGATCATATATAGGATCCTGATTAGATCATATACAGGATCCTGGATGGATTCTACACCGGAACCAAAACAGATTCTGAAAAGATCCTATACAGGATCCTAAAAATATCCTGTCCAAGACCCGAATCATTTCCTACAGGATCTTGATCAGATCCTATTCAGGACCCTGCACATATCCTATATAGGATCCTATACAGGATCTTGCAAGATTTTTCACTAGGGTTCAAGAAATACATAGGATCCTATTAAGATCTTTTAAGGAATACTTTTAATCTTATCAGGATCCGGTAAGATCTTATTAAGATCCTATAGGATCCTATAAGATCTTATAGGATCTTGTACAGAATCTTGCACAAGATCCTGTAGGATCCTTTACCAATTTCCTGTGAGGATCCTGCGAGGATCTTATACAGGATCCTGCAAGATTTTTAACCGGGGTGCCATCCTAACACTATTCAGCAGTTGTAGACAACAGCAACAACTGCATGATTGAGTTTTCTGCTCAACTTGCCAAGGGTTCATTCTCGTCTTGTGACCCTGAACTTTTCAAAGTTTTGAAAGCTTTGTTTTGATAATTAGATCCCTATTCCTGGGTGCATTCCTTGTAAACCCCATGCTTAAGGTACACCATGGCCAGGCCAGGTTAATGCCAAGGTCCAATGTCATAAAAATCTTACCAAAAATACGCCAACAGCCCCACCCTACCATATTTCTTAGACAAGTTATTCTCTTTATGCGGGTCTCTCATACATATACACTCATGCTGGTTTTGGGCCAGGATCGGAGCAAGGTTGTCAGAAGCAGAGGTGCTTGAGTCCCCAATAATTGTTAAACTGTACCACATTTCCTTTATAATAGTGTATAATGGAAAGCAATACAACAGGCAGCCACCCTTCCCCTCCCCCAACTGGAGTTTTGTTCAGAAGAGCTATGCTAGTGCATTGGTATCACATGGTAGGCATGATATTATTTCGGCCTGTCTAAGAAATTATATTTTCAATAGTTTACAACCCATGGTGACAAAATCAGCATTCTCTAATTCATAAAAAATTCACAGAAAAAGGTCCCTGCCCCACAGGTACAATTTCACCAAAATTCCAGTGTGCACCATATACCAAAAGATGCTTATCTCACACCAATGCCATGCAAAACAACTTAACTTCACTCCCAAGACCTTTAGAATTTGCTGCATGGAATGCACCCTGGTCCCCATTCAGGAAACCGCAGCACAAGCCATTGACCACATTGAAGGTCAGATTAAGTCAAATTTTAAAAAGGTAAAAAAGTTGCAGTTTTATCTTAACCTTACATGCATTCAAATACTGTAAGAAGGTAACAAATGGCATTGTTAGTTATACTACATGACATAAGTCATAAAATGTTGTTTTTACTAGGTTCTAGAGCATATTTCATTTCGGCTGCCTGGTTGTTTAAATTTCATGAAGTTTCAGTTTGGGTGTAATTTAAGCTAAACTGTTGTTCAGGGTCAAGAAGGATGGAAGCTGCATGTACGATGCCTGTTCTTTGGCTATTAGTGGAGAGAAAACATGTGTCATCTACTGAGAGCATCAACATCTGCTGAACTTTACCTCTATTCTTAACTCTATGCCTCTCATCCCCATTTTGCAACACTTCACTATGTCCTCCCTTGGAGAGATCTTCTGCCCTCTTGGAAACTTTCTTTTCTCATTCAATTTCCCATGAAGCCAGTGATTTGCTTACATGTACTATTAAAAACTATGCTGATTGTGTTAAGCATGAGGCACTCAAAACCTGTCAGGATAGGAGGTGGAGCCCATTTATTTGCATCATGGCATTATCTAGTGTTCTTGGTCTGCCTATATTTTCATTTTATTCAGAAATTTGTGGTAGAAGGTATGCTTTAAATTTAAGCAATGCAAAATTGTTTCCACGAGAAGGTACTGGTCAAACTACTGAAACAATCCGACTCCTAAGGTCCAAAGCAGGTGGTGGTAAGAATGACCTTAACCCATCCTTCAAGGCAAACCATATTGTCCCAATTTTCCTGGCAGAGAAGGCCTCTTTACAACAACCTGTAACATCCATTATTGTTCCTAAAAATGAACAGTGCCCAAAAAGGAAGCAGTCAGAAAAGCAAGGCATGATTTCTTTTCCCAAAAAGGTTTCAATTAAAATGCCTTTGGAGTCAGTAAATCCAAAAGAAAACGAAATTGTTGAGCCAAACCAACTTTCATCTGCATGAAATCTTCAAAATCCGATTGCCAATGTGACAGACATTGGATCTTTTTACCTGAATACTGCTAGTATGACAGATGTGGAGAGATATGAAAAGATGCTTAATGTCTGGAAGCCAGATCCAAAGTTTGCATTTCCAAGCAGCAAATTTGTATATTCCATGGAAAAAGCGACAAATTTGTATATTCTTGGCTCATAAATTACTCTTGGCTTACATACTCAAAGCTATTTGTTGGTACTTTTTGGCTACCATGTGTTCTGTTTTGGAGAAAAATTGGTCAAAATGCATAAGCTGGATAAGTCGATAAAAACCCCTTTGACAGATTGATCTTCTGCAACTTGTAGAATTAAAACGCATTAAAATTGCACTTGAAACAATGAACAGGTTTAAAAATGTCACGGAAAGCAGAGAGAAATCCATAGATCTTATTCAAAATGAATCTTTAGACAAAGCTGTGCAGCAGAATAGGTTGCAGATAGCTTCTATTGCCAAATGTGTTCTTTTATTTGCAAGACAAAATATTCCATTCCGTGGTCATAGAGATGATTCACAATACTACGATACAAGTAATTGTGGCAATTTTCAAGCACTTTTAGATTTTCATGTTGAAAGTGATGATAGGTTCTTGGCAGAGCATTTTAAGACGGCTCCCCAAAATGCAACATTCAAATCAAAGACTGTGCAAAGTGAACTTATTTCTTGTATTGCAGAAGTTGTGAACCACCAAATAATAAAGGAAATCAAGGAATGTGGTCCTTATTCAATTTTAGCAGATGAAGTCACTGATTGTTCTAATCAGCAACAGATGCCTTTGGTCCTACGTAATGTTGATGGGAATGGAGATATGAAGGAACGATTCATGAAATACATAACTTGTGACACTGGAACAACTGGAGATGCTCTGAAAACAAAAATTTTGAATTGCATTACAAATGATTTGAATTTGAATATTATGGATTGCAGGGGACAGTGTGATGGCCACCCGCATTTGAGACCCTCAAGCGCCACAGATGTCTTCAGCCGCCTGTTGCCAGTTCTTCCATCTGTTGCAGATGATGCTGACCAAGAAAGAAATTACGCTGCAGCAGTTGCAAGAGCAGCGGCCCCAGTTGAGGAAGTGATAGTTGGCAGGTCTGGTGGCCTGGGTATGAACAGTATCGGCCGGCCGAGGCCAAGAACTGTCTGCATTCACTCGACTGCAAGGCCCTCATTGCCAACTTGCAGATGTTCCTCCTGGAGCCCACTCACGTCTAGCGGCTCCCGAATGGGGACCTGGAAGTCACCTTCCCCACAGTAGCAGACAAGGACAGGTTCCTTGGCCTTGGTTTCGTGCCTCACCCACATTGCCATTGGCAACCAAGGCTCTAAAGATCCACCCCTGGCGTGGTTAAGGGTTTTCAACAAGCCAGGAGAAATACCACCGGAAGTGGTAGAGAGGAGGCTCAGTCGGTTCAGCCGGGTTCTGTTTGCCAGGGAGAATACCCACCCTGGTACAAATAAGTTGAAGGGGGTCATGACTGTTAAAATGACCATGACCGGGCCCATTTCAAGTTATGTGCACCTGGGTCCTGCCTGTTTGCTTGTGCGACATGAAGGGCAACCTGTGACATGTCTAAATGTGACAGCAGGACCCACCTTGCAGCAAACTGCTCCGCTAAAACATGCTACAACTGTGGGTGTCGGCCATATTGATGCTGACTGCCCCGAAAGCAGTTTATGTCAGGGTTGTGGGTCGCCTGATCACCATCTTGCTCCGTGTGATACCTCATTCTTCCCAGACCCGAGCGGAACCGACCGCAGATGCAGAGTCCATTCCCAAGACACCAACGGAGACCACAATGGCCTTTGACATATTTGGCAGCGAGGCTGGAAGCTCAGCCACAGAGGATGAGGCAACTGCAGTTCATGAGGAGACCATGCATGATCCAGCTAGCGCCCTGGAACCCCTACCGACAGAAGAACTGCAGAACGACAAGGAGCAAACAAGCCTTGAAGAGCCACCCAGTAAACTCGAAGAGCCATCCAGCGTCAGTACACCTGAAGAACTGTCCAGCATCCACAAAGACGCCTAGACAACAAAGAACTGGTATGATACCCTGTCTTTTCAACAGGGTACCAACTCTTCTTCTAAATTCTGTTCTCCTCTTTTTCCTTTCCCAAAACCCTCTGTCGATGCTGGCGTCCCAGCAGCTTCAAAGAGGTCCTTCCAAGACGACAATGTCTCTGACATTTCCGCGGTGCTAGATTCAAGCTAGAAAGGAATTAGTCATATTTTTGCAGGAAACTTACATCTCAGAGCCTGCAGACACTATCTTTCTGAAATCCAACTGGAAAGGATCAACTTTTTTCCTCTTTTGGAGGAAAGCACAGCAGATGTGTTACCACCCTCATCAAGGAGTCCTTGAAAACCAACAATCACAGTCACTCATGACAACTGCGGCCGATGGGTCAACCATATATTAGACACAAATGATTCAAAGCTTCAGTTTTTGAATATCTATGCCCCATGCCCAATAGGTGAAAGAACTGCCTTTTTTCAAACGCTGCCCCCACACATCAGGGTTCCAACAATCATCGGAGGTGATTTGAATTGTCTAACTAAATTATATCTTGATAAACTAGGTGGTGACAGCCAAGCAAGTCCTACGGCCATAAAAGCTCTAACTGACCTTCTAAGGGACTTTAACCTTATTGATATCTTTGGCTCAATGCATCTGCCCGTAAGTTGGACTAATTCGAAAGTTTCATCTAGACTAGATAAGTTTTATGTTTCTTCTGAGAATCTAGCTAATACAAAACACTGTGAGATAACAGTATTTCTCTTTTCTGATCACAATGCCCCGTTTATGTCCTTCAAATTACCAAACTCGTCACCTAGAGGTAGAGGTACCTGGAAATTCAACAACAGCCTCCTCAAAACTGAATAATTTACATGTAATATGAAGCATTTTTTGAAATTTTGGGTTTCTCGCAAAAAAGACTTTACAGGCAAACTACATATTTGGTGGGGTATAGGAAAAAAGAAAATAAGAAACCGTATTGAAAAACCTTAAGAAAAAAGCTAAGGAAAAGAGAGAAAAATGGACAGCCCTGGCAGGCAAACTGCAAAAAGCCACAATTTCAACTAATAAAAGAGAAAAAGAAACTGTCCTCCTGATTAGGAAAGAAATTGAAGAATTAGGGGAGAGTGGGGCTAGTTGTCACGGGGTAAGTTGTCACAGCCTCGTTTACAGAAGAATGGCTAAATTTTCGAGGCTGTCGCCACGACCTTTAAAGGTGGGCACCATGATGTGTTCATTTGACATGACATTCATTTCTTACTTAACCATGCTGTTTCCAGTGCAAGCCTGTGATCGTTTTTGTCGAGCCTGAAAACGAATTTTGTTTTTTGGGAAAAAGGTAGGACTATTTCGATATTATGTTCTGCAGAAAGTTGCGATTTATTTTCTTATCAAATTGCACTGTTTTATCATTCTAGCTATTGTTCTTTTGCATTCCTCAAGCGTTTTTGGAAACATTAGGCCCATTTCTGCTAACTTGGGGGTGGGGCAAGTTGTCTCAAAATTGATCTAACCTTCAACAATGACAACATGCTAAAATTTCAATGATTTGGTCCTCACATTCTATTTCGAAGTATATTATAGGGTGGGTGTGAGTGTTTTCTAGATTTTCATAAAGTTGCGGGGGGGGGGGGGGTCATCAAAAAATGATGTAAAGTAATTTACAAATATCCCTTCGAATGGGAGGGGGAATAGGGGGAGTGGGTATTAGGATATTTTTTAATTGTTAAAACAATCTATTGCTGTTTACGAGAAATCCTAAAGGAAAAAAATGTTATTTGTTTTAACAGATGGAGTAGAAAAGACAATTTTTATGAGTGAAAATTGGTCATACTTTATATTTGTTCTTAATTTTTGTTCTTATATAGAGTTATTTGTATGTAATCTTCCTTTTTGCCTTTAGCTCGCAAGATGGTTCGCAAATACCAGAGGAAAACTGAAAGAGCCAAAACACCTAAAGAAAACATTGAAGCTGCTGTTCAGGCTGTCAAATCGGGAATGAGCATTCGTAAAAGTGCAACATTGAATGATGTTAATTATCGCACTTTAATACGTTATATGAAATTGATGAAAGGAAAAGAAAGCTTAGCTGATGTTCACCTTGGATACAAACAAACAAGACGTGTTTTAAATGATACCTTGGAAGCTGACCTTGTTCAGTATGTCCTGAAGGCAGCTGCAATTTTTTATGGCATTACTATGCCTGAGCTGAGGTCTTTGGCTTACAAGTTGGCTGTTCAAAATGAAGTAAAGAATATTCCAGAATCATGGATCCGTGAAGAGATGGCTGGAAAGGACTGGATTCGTTGCTTCTTGCAAAGGCATCAAAATATTTCAGTAAGAAAGCCTGAAGCAACCTCAATTCAAAGAATGGCAAATTTCAATGAACATAATGTTGTAATGTTTTTTGATAATTTAGAGAGAGTTCTTAACCGACCTGAGGGTTATAGTGCTGGTCAGATCTGGAATCTGGATGAAACAGGGGTGACAACTGTACAAAGACCCCCTAAGATACTTGCGGAGAAGGGGGCCAAACAAGTGGGTTCAGCAGTATCCCAAGAGAGAGGACAGCTTGTTACACTATGCTGTGCTGTTAATGCAATTGGAAATCATATTCCACCATTCTTTGTGTTTCCAAGGGTGAACATCCAAGACCATTGGCTTTTAACTGCACCCACTGGGAGCTCTGCCACTGGGCATTCAAAAGCTAGTGGATGGATGACAGAAGAAACTTTTGTAAAGTACATGAAGCACTTTGTGAAGTTTGCAAAACCTACAAAGGAACAGCCAATACTTTTGTTACTTGATAACCACAGCTCTCATATCTCTTTGGAGGTGATCAATTATGCAAAAGCAAACAATATTACCATGCTGAGCTTCCCACCACATTGTTCACATGAACTGCAGCCCCTTGACAAGACTGTATTTGGTCCCTTCAAGACATTTTTCAATCAAGGTGTTGACAATTGGATGAGGCAAAAAGAGAATGCTGGGAAATCAATGACTATTCATGTAATACCAAGTATTGTGTCCTATGCCTTTCCCAAAGCTATGACACCAGCCAATATTACTTCTGGGTTTAGAGTAACTGGAATCTGGCCATTTGACAGAAATGTATTTCCTCAAGACAAGTTCTTGTCAGCATATTCTACAGACAGACCCATGTTGGAATCTACACAAGAGCATGCAACACCTGCTAACATGCAACCAACTCCTTCAACATCAAGAGGAGCTGCTAATGTCCAATGCACACCAAGTCAAAGCCAACATTTAGACATGTTGTCTACAAGTGTGTCTACCAGTGCTGAACAAATCCGGCCATTTGGTAAAAGAGAGCCAAGAAAAGATGGCTCCAATAAAAGGAAAAAGGGGAAATCGCAAATTTTCACTGATACCCCGGTTAAAAGAGCCATAGAAGAGGAAGCCAATTTTAAGAAATCAAAGAAGAATTTGGCAAAGAAGAAAATCTTGTATTCATCTTCAGAAACAGAGCACATTGAGGGTAAAGAAGTCACAAAAACTAGGAAGAAAACTGATGAAAAGAGAAAAAACACTACAAGAATTGGACATAGAAAAAAGGCAGAGAAAGATGAAAGTGAGTTGAGTGACATGCCCCACATGTGGGGCATAGTGTCACACTGGACCTCTTTGAATAAAAATGTAATTTTACCAAAAGTGTATGCACAGCTGAATTTTTTGGTATGCTGGCGAAGTACCCTGAGCTGTAAGCTTTTTAGATTTCACACTAGAAGTCTTATCATTTAATCAGTCTTTGTGTTATTGGTCAAGGAAAAAATTTTGTGACAACTAGCCCAACTCTCCCCTAGATCTTAACAACATTAATGGTGCACGTATCAGAGCAAAGGCGCTTGAATACCAATCAAATGAGAATGAAATGAGAACACGCTATTTTTTCAGCCTTGAAAATTCATGTCAATCTACAAAAGTGATTCGTAAGTTAAAAACAGGATAGTAGGGACCTGCTTGGCTCTATTGCTAACTTCTACGAGTCCCTCTATTCCCCCGAACACATTGATAATTAAAAACAGAATGTCCTTTTGAATACTATTGATCGTTTTGTCCCCAAAAACTTCAAATTGTTACTTGAGGAACCATTTTCCACAGATGAATGTCACAAACCTCTTACTTACATGAAATCGGACAAATCTCCTGGCTCTAATGGACTACCAGCAGAATTTTGTAATTTCTTCTGGGGTGAAATTGGCGAAGCCTTAGTAGAAACACTAAACTTTTGTTTTGATAGAAGCAGTGGCGAAGCCAGCTCTGGAGAGTTGGTCATGCACTTGGGCAAAAAAATAAACAGGGTTTTTGGCACCACAGCAATGTACCCAATTTAAGTTAAGGTTACACCAGTTCCCTTGAGAAAAGTGTTTTCAGCTATTGTGAAAATACCCAGAAAAGCCTTAGGGCATAAAACATTTAAAAATTTGCAAAAGAATAATTTTCAGAACTTTCTTGAGACATGATTTGAAGAAGCCTTGGCTTTAGACTTATTAATATTTACTATTTCAAAAGCTGTTTCATTCACCTGAATAAACTGTCAGATACTGAAGGAAAGCTTTTTTAGATAACATAACACAGTTAGATTTGATTCTCACAACATTATATAAAATGTCTAAATTGTTTTGCTTTGATAAATACACTGACAAGACAAAGATAAGATAAATACACTTTTGCTCTGACAAGATAAATACACTTTTGATGACCCTTCCCTAATTCCTTACTTAGAACTATTGTATTTATAAGTACAAATAGTGTAATTGTACAAATAAAAAAATTAATGCCCCCTAGCCTATGTTCATGCTACACCTCATTTTTTTTAATTCATTATTATTAATTTATCAAAACAGATTATAATCAGAAAATGGAGAGTTCCCTCTGAAACAATCTCAATACTCTCATCTCACAAACATCAATAACAAAAAAGGCCATTATAAGATAAATACTGAAAAGGTTAAGACAACACTAATTTCATGCCTCGTTGTATCTCAAACTTGCATTGCATGTCTCTAAAAAGCAACAACAATGAAGCATTTGTGTTTCTTTCACTAACAACAAGTTCTAGAGACACTCATTCTGAATATTTCAATGGAAATTTAGCATGTAAGTCCACTAGCCCTTTCATTATCAAAGCATGGAATACTTTGGGCTTGCCAATTATCAGCAATAAAATGATATTAAAACCAAGCAGTTTGTTTCATTGTTTTTCTTGCAATATTGGAAAATTTAAATGCCATTTAAGGTAGTACATTGGCTAAATTTTGAAATATGGTGAATGCTGCAAAATATGGTCTTCTACCAAATTAGGCGTTTTTAGAGTCGCTCAGTAATTATGCACTCGTCTTAACTCGTCTCAATTCGTCTTACCTATCTACAAAATGATTTTCGCTTTGCAAAGTCTCATGAAATTTGGACTAACAAGGGTATTATTTCTCTATTTTGAGTCTTGAATGCGATTGACGCTTTTGATTTCAAGCCAAAATACGAAAACAACCAAACTATACCAAACCAAACCAAAGTATCTAAATAATCAAAAACGAAAAATTATCAAACAAATTAATTAGATATTGGTCATTCTAAATTATTCACAAACTGTCCTCTAAATTTTCTTCCATATCTGCCTGCATGGCGTTCTCGCAGCTCACTCTGCGGCATTCTCCGCAACACGTTGTGCATTTCAGACCATTCTTTTTGCAACTGCATCGAAGATTTGCGCACCCCTTTTTGCAATTACAGCTGATCAACTTGAGGAGCTCTTCTGGTGCGTATGGAAGATCAGTTTGCAAAGGCATCATTTTCCCTTTTTCAATGATCCACCCCCATTCTGTAGGATCGAGATCTCTTCCTTTCCATTGCATTACTTGAGCGAAAACTCGATAACTGTGATACTTAGCAGCAGAAGAGGTGGGTGGAAGTACCTGTGGGCTGATAACAGATTTACAAGAAATTTATCACAGAAGGTATTGTAACGCAAGGCATCGAGTCCTTCACCTTCCTTTCCTTTATATAAGCAAACGAGGGCATGCTCCCCAGCAGATGCTATTTCCTCGGAGTTGGCAAGATCATTTTGGAACACTGCAGCCTGTCGTTGTAAGTGTTTATTTTGTTGGAATATCTTCAACGATAACCCTTTACCGATGCCATACAAGCTAGATGTTGTGTCGCACCCAAGAATGGCATGTAGGAACAAAATATTGTTGTATATATCTTTGCCCAACAATTCCTTACATAGTTTAATATCCCAGACATTTGTACCTCTAGCATTCTGCTTGGACTCAGAGTAGAAGTAGATTTTTTTCGACTCTTTGTTTGCGTGGTAAATGAGCAAAATTAGCAAATCTGTGTCTTCACCAATCACCGCCGTCTCTTCTTCCACTGAGGCCTCAATCCCTTTTTGAACAATCAGAAGATCAGCATCAGCATCAGCATGGTAGACATCACAGCCCTCTGCCTTCAACTTTGCTGCAAGCATGTTGATAAACCTTTGCTTGTTTTCTTTGTTTGCAAGAAAGGTTTCTTTCCTTATAGTAAGAAGCATATTTTCTTCGAATTTCACCGTTGTTCCAGACGACAAGCCAACTCTTCATTGATGTGTCATGTCCTTGGGCGAATGACCAGCGGAATACCCATCAAAAACTATGAAAGCTTTTGTGTACTTCCTTTTCACATATGCCACATAACTATCGATAATGGAGGCATATGATGCTCCACGCTTCCAAGATATCTGTTGCAGCAAAGAGCCCCCATCTAAAACATACCTTACTGGCTGCGATGGTATTTTAATCTCTGTGTCAACCATTTTTCTTATGGTACTCGCCAGGACGGGCTTGTTAGCTTTTCTCAAGGAGCCATTTGTTTCAAATAAAGATGCTGGAACAGAACAGAGCTCGTAGCTGAAAAGTTTTGATGTATCTTCAGTGGTATGACTTTTAACGCAATAAGTTTTTGAAATAACAGCTGGGGTCCTACATGAATGTCTCCATCTGTTTCCTTTGGGTGCTTTTTTGCATCAAGCGTAATGGCCTGGTTTGCTCTTTTGAGCACAAAATCTTTGCAATATTGACCTGTCATTTTTTCAAGAATCTTGTTTCCAACTTCTTTTGCAACGTCAGCATTGACTGTATCTATTGCTGTTACCCCTGTCGCAATGTTGCGAAGACTGCAGTCGTCACTAAATGGATCTCTTACCTGAAAGAATGAAAGAAGTGAATTTGTGTCTTTCAAATCACTGCTAATTCTCGCTTCTGACGTATCTTTATGTTGCTCACTGCTGCTGAAAGTAACTTCAGTAAACTCTTGCATAGCTTCATTGATCTCAGCAGTTGCTGGCATGGATAACAACCAGATCAGCCTCTGTGTTTCAGACATTCCCCTTCCTCTTGTCAAGCCACCAGAGGTTTTAAGGCTTCGCATCAAAACTTGTTCTACGATGAGGTCTGAGGATAATCCAGCCCAATAACGATCAGAGCGTCTGATAACATGGAATCCCTTCTCAAAGGCATCATGGACACGTGGATGATCATCCTTTAGCTTGCTCATTTCTTGCAAATATATTCGTGCACTCTTGGTGTAGAGGTTGTGTCCCGAGGCGGCAAAGTAAGGCAACATAGCTTGAACAGTTTGCAAGTGCAGGTTCCAATCTCCGGTCCTCTCAGCTTTGATAAATGTGCGAAGAATCTCTATCATTTCAAGGTACTGCAACCAAAGCTTTCCTGTCCTGGAATTGCTTGAAGACGATTTGGCATCGAGTATTTTCTGCCTTACATCCTCAAGATCATGTGATTGACAAACATATCCCATAGAAACCCTTCCTTGCATCAGTGACTCAAACATATCTTTCAAATTCCTCAAATCACTGGATACTTCTGGGGTTTCTAACTCAGCAGCTGCCTCTGCACCTCTGTCACGCTGTTGAGCCTCTGGACCCTCTCCTTTTGTATCGGCAGCATCCTGCTCTCTGTCAGCATCTGTAGGCAATGGTACATCACAGGCTTTCGATAACAAAATAGCATTTAGAGCTGTTTCGACTAACTGATGGCCACGTACTGCTCGGGAGATAGCTTTACCAGTGAGAATATGTGGGACAACATTATCAGCATATATAAGCTCGAGAGATTCTTGCAATCCTGACCCTCTCATGAGATATCCAATACTTCCGAGGAAACTCATTTCTGTATGAAAAGCTCCAAGTCGCAAAATTATTTGATGCAAAGGGCTATCAATTGGCTCCCCTTTGATGATACAAATGGCTTTCCACCATAGCGGCTGATCAAAAGTGAGAATCGATGTCACATCATATTTTTTGGCATGGCGAGAAACAAAGTCTAAGGTAGAGTGAATACAAGTGACATTGCTGGGATCCAAATCGATCATTGGCAAAAAGATAACAGATGACTTGCCTGGATACTCCCCCTGGTGGCACCATTGCATTGTTCCAGACCATGATGGCCTTCTTGGGTTCAGCAACCAAGAAACTTGCCATAAGAGATCCAATTTTGATGTTGGATCAACAATTTCATTTGAGAGCAACTGATCGTACCTGATGTTGAGTTGGTTATTGGCTATATTGTACTGCTTGATGTTAATTGCACCGATGGCTGCTATTTCATCAGATGATATGTTGCATCGCCTTGGGATAAATGTTGAAGTACGGGCAGCACTCCTTGGGGTGATAGTGGCAATTATTCCCATTCCATGAAAAGTATTTCTTCCGTCAATAGTTCTAATGTTGTGATCGACGTTGTCTGCAACATATTGAACTAGCGTTTGTCTCTCAGGGATACTCAGCTCAACTCCATCTTTGATAGCTGCACTCCTTTCGTAAGCTTGCACTTCTGAATAGGAGCAACAAAATCCATGCCTATGAAGTGAGTCTACCAGAAATCTCGATCCAAAGTGGTGGTGCATTTGAACCCCAAGACCAAGTTGTAAAGGTGCAATCAATGTTCTAGGTCTCGCCGCCTGCATGATTGCTTGACCAATTGAGGCAATCTTACTTTTTTTATCTTTTCCAACAAGAATTGTGTCAAGTAACAAGATCAGTGACTCTGGTAGGTAGGACATTGCATTTTCCATAGATGATATATCACTGTTGCTTGCATAATATTCCTTTGAGGTGGGACATGACTTAATGGCATTCTTTAGGCATGTTGCCGCTGTTTTAACAACTCTCATCTCTTCTTCCTTAACGTCCTCCTTCTTTGGCTCATTATAGAACTTTTGCAGAATTTTTGCAGCAAAGGGTCGCATGGTTACAACATCAGTTCTTCCATCCAGCTCTGTGAAAATAGCATCTTCTCCGAAACGTTCTTTGATCCTCTTCTTCATGTATACAGCACTGTATGAAGAAGTTTTAGATTCCTGAAGGAAGTCAGCCATTTTTTCAACTAAATCTTTAATGGTGAGCTGTTCCTCGTCATTTTGTTCAAAAAATTCCATAGCCCTTTCAAAGGCATAATTTTGCATTTCTTCCAGTGGTCTGCCACGCTTCGTCTTCTTTTGAGGTGCTGCGCCTTCTTGATTCGATGTGAAAACTAAAGGGATTCCTTTTCTTGTCCTAAAGTTTACACTGCATTTTTGGTGGTACAAAGCATCTGCAGCGTGAAGATCAATAGCTGATTCAGTTCTCTCAGCGACCTTTCTTGCCCATTCATCATTTCTTTCATTGCATATTTCGGAAACTGTATTCTGAAATTCGAAGGTCCTCACTGGTATAAGAGAAAAGTCCTTCTTCTTCCCTTGGTAGCGGTCCCCCTCACCAAAAAACAGACAATGCTCTTTAAAGTTGAATTTCTGAGCTTCAGATCGAAGTGAACGCTTGCCCTTTGCTTGGGAGGTCTCTCTTGCAGCCGCTGCTATATTTTGTGGCTTTGTGAAATTTGCACGACAATCCTTGTGAACTGATTGACCAGCAGTAACATTTATCACGTCGCCTCGCTCTTTACTTGCGTTGTTGATTCCATTTGCACCTTTCTGACGAAGAACGACACCTGCTGCTATGTTCCAGATTGGTTTTTTGCAGATAACACACTCCATCTTACGTAACTGTCATGCAGACCATTTTGCCGGTTGTAGACTACGTTTTATTATCTGCACAAAGAAGAAATAACGCAAGCAACAAACAGGTTCTCTGTTCAAGATTCAAGGTCAACATGCAATTTGATCATATGCTCAATCGCAACAGCTCCTTCACCAAGATTTGTTTTGAAATGGTTCGAGAGGACTTCCCCAAATATAGTAAACATCACAATTAAGTAAGCATGATGTTGAATAAATATCTATTCAAGAGTGGGTAATTATCTTGGTAGATTTAATGGAAATACTACGAGAGTCATTGTAAACCCATATGCCTTCTCGACTTTGACTTCTACGTTTAAAATCCATGAAATTTTTTTAGCTAAACCACCTTAATTCAGCTGGCAATTTGGACACTTTCCACTTCTAGAATTTCTTAGGACTTTTCATATGTTATAGAGCATAGTTTAATTAGCCAATCAACCATTATTTCGTTTCTGTTGCAATTTGTTTGAGGTTCGACCATTTTTTGACTTAGTTTTACTGGACTATAAATTGGGATCCCTGTGATATTTGCATGACTAAATTGGAAACCCATGAGCGTTATTGAGTTTCAATGTAGAAACCCTATGTTTGCGCCTACAGAATTACATAAAAGTACGCAAAGAATAATTTTCTTTGACTTTGGAGAACTTTCAATGTGAAAAAACCCCCATCTAAACTATCTTTTTTTCCTGTAGCTCTGTGTTTT